GTTTAATGCAGCCCTGAGCGAGGCGCTCGCTCGTTAGGAGGGAGAGTCGGGCCTGGGGCGACTCCAGGCTCCTGCACCTGGACCCGTGGGGGGCTTCGCGTCCCCTCCCTCCTCCCCGAAGCACCACCCGGGGTCGTTGGTAAAACAAACGCCTGTGGACACGGAGCCGGTTTAATCACCTAATGGCCCGGACACCCGACGCCGCTCGGCCTCCCAGCCGCGCCGGCCACAGCGGCCACGGTAACTACAGCCAAGTTTGGCCCGGCCTCTCCGTATCACAGCCTTTCACGGGCACGCGGCCGAGGTCTTTGAGGACAATGAAATATGCATGGCTATCGGTGACAGCCCCGTAAAGGGCGCAATTAGCCCGTCATCCGAGAGCGAGGCCGGCCGCCGCCCGCGGCTCCCATTAGTTAAATGCATTTTGTTCGTCCTCATCCCATCAAATCAACGAACACTTCCTTTAATTGGTTCATGAATTATACAGCCGCCCGCATTATAATTTAATCGCCTGTAAACATTCACAGGGCCCCGGCGTAAGGCGCCCGCGCTCATTAATTCCTTAATTTCCGCAGACGGAGGGGGAGCCCGGCTGAACGGTGGCAGAACAGAGCGCCCGGGGCCATGGAAGAAGGGAAGAAAGGTGGGGGCCGTTTAGGGCTTTAAGGGCTGTCAGAAACTCAATCTGCGAGCTGTCAGCAGCCCGGACCCGTCCCCGCTCCGCTCCACCCGTGGCGGGAAGTGACTGGCGGATTCATGCGGAGGCTTGTCAACCGTCTTTAAACATCAAGCCAGCGGGTAAACCGAGCCCGGTGTAAATTAATTCTTGTCTTACGGCCCCCCTCTCTCCGTCCCCATGAATATTTCATGGCGGGCAGCATAAATATTAATTCTAATAGCTCTGCACAGTGGTTATTATTTCTGTTTTATGACAAATATTCATAAAATATTCAGGACCCTTTTTTAGAATATTTACACACTTGATTGTGAACTTTCCCAGATTCCCGGAGACACGGTCAGCATATCGGGGGTTCTCTTAACGGACTTTGCCCCTTTAATTAATGCCGCCGGTCATCCATATTGAATCAGACTCGGTTTTCCGAGGGGGAGCGGAACCTGAGGCTGGAGGCGGACGGGCCTTCGCCCTCCCGTCGGTGGAAGGGGAGTGACCGCTCCCCGACACCTGGGCAGCGACAGGCTCGGTGGGCGCTTCGTCGGGGAACAGCACTGCCCCCCGCCTGCGTCTGTTCTCTCCTTAACCCGGAACGAAACCCTTCGAGGTGCCGCTGCGGTATTTACGTGAGGACTGAACCCAGTGCTGGCGGAATTACCCCGTGGCTTTGGCCAGCTCGTGGCGGCTCCCTCGCAGGGCAGCGGCCGGCCGTGGGGATGAAGGCTCTTTTGGAATCCGTGTCATTTACCTTGAACCCAGAGACGTGAACAGGGAGGGGTCCCAGCCCGGGCGCCAGGTGCGTCTGAGGTGATGGAGGTCAGGGTGGGGTGGCGGCTCTGGTCTGAGTGGGTCCAGCGAGCCTTGAGGATGGGGGTGCATACAGGGTGCCAGCCCTCCCACCCCGCCCCACTCGCTCTCCAGAGCTGCTGGGACCACTGCAGGGAGCGAAGCGGATCCGTTTCCTCACAAGAAGGCGGCCGGGCAGCCGAGGCGGCGCCGTCAGCGGCCTGGAGCCCAGCCCGAGGCACCGTCACCTCCTGGGCTCCGATTCCCGTCCTTGAAGTGGCGTGACCCCAGGGCCTGGGCCACGTGCGTCTCACAGGGGTTAAGCAGGATGACATGCGCCCGTGCCGTGCTTGCTCGAGTGGCTGGCGGCAGGAGAGCCGGTGTGGTTCTGTCCGGGGCGGCAGGCTGACACCCAGGGAGAGCCCGAGGCCTGTGAGGCTCAGGCCGGACAAAACCAGTGTCCCAGCTCGAAGGCCACCAGGAGGAAAAGCGCTCGCACCCAGGCCTCCGACTGACTGGGCGAGGCCCCCCCACGTGGGTAGGGCAACCTGCTTCGTTCCGGCTCCTGGTTTACATGTTCACCTCACCCCGAAACACAGACACGCCCAGATCATGTCTGACCACAGATCTGGGAAGCCTGTGGCCCAGTCAAGGGCACACATCACATGCACCATCACAGCCGCTTCTAGCTGGCGGACGATGGCCGGTGGCTGAACTCCTGCGGTTGTCACGGAGCTGACAGAGTCCCTGGCGAGGCTGGGAGGCGGGTCACCATCTCACACAGGTCCGGGTGCCTGGGAGTGTCTGAGTGGCAGAAGGGTTCTCTTTCTTCCTAGGGGGAAGGAGGCAGCAACTTTATGACGACTTTAAACAGAGACGCTTACGCAGGGGTCTGAGGTTATTATCCTCGTCATTATTTGCATTATTACACTTTTGGGTGAAAAAAACCCCCACGTTTTCTCCATTGCATTGTGCTGCCCCCTTTGTTGGGGCGGGTGGGGCTGGCGGGGCAGTGTGTCTGCGTGGAGCTGCAGCAGTGCCCTGGGCCCAACTCGCTGTGCACCGTGCACCGCGCCTGCCTAATCAGAGGTCCCTGCGTGGGGCCCAGCTCCTCCCCAGCGAGGCTGTCCCGGCGTCTCCAGAACCAAGTTGGTGTCCTCCGCCTTCTGATCCCACTCTGTCCCTAGCCTTTCCCTTGACTCACGGGGGCGCGGGGGGCGGCAGGGAGGGGCTTGGTGCGCTGGGTTAGGAATCCTTCCCTCGGGCGTGTTCATGGAGCAGCATCCATTATGGGGTTGGAAAGTGGCTTCCTCCCTGCTGGGCTCTGGGCGCCGGCTGCGGGGTGCTGCTGCTCGGCCTTGCGTGTTCCAGGGGTGCAATGTGGGCCGCGTTCGCAGGGTAAGGGGTGAAAGCGTGGGAACGCCTCTGCTCCCCGCATTCAGACGCGCCCCCATCTCGCTGGTCCGATTTGGTGGCTGTTATTTTACAGCGCGTGTGAGCGACATCATCGAGGCCGTGCTGGGAAGGAGGGGGTTTCCGGGGCTCCCGCCCGCCCCCATGGCCCCCGCTCTGTTCTCTGTGGATGGCCTGGCCGCGGCTGCAGCTTCCCTGGGGTCCCCGTGAGGGGCTTCCCGGCCACTGGGCAGAGCAAACCTCAGCAAACAGCCTGGCACAGCGAGAGGGAGCGGAGAGGCGGGGGAGCCGCTGGCCTGGAAGAGAGCAGGGCCCAGGGAATCCCGTTCTTCGAAAGCTCCCGCGTTTCCCAGAGTGACTGGCACCGGAGAGACGAGTGTCCGTCTAACGACACAGAAACCCAGCTCCCGTCAGTGTAAGCGAAAGAGGAGATGTGTGTTCGTGTCGGGGGAACACTGAGGGGTGTGTTGGCTTCAGGCACAGCTTGATCCAGGCCCCACACAGTGTCTCTCAGCATCGCTCTGCTTTCTCGGCAGCTGTCTGCTCTCTTGGGATGGGCTTCATCCTCAGGTAGGCGCTCTCGGTGCAGGCAACCCCAGCTCCCACGCATCGGCCTAGCAGCCCCAGCAAGAATGAGGCTCCGTTCTTCCTGGCTTGTGGGAGTGCGGGGGGAGGGTCCCGGGGGGACGGGGGCGGCCTCCTATAGACCCAGCTCGGCTCAGCCTGCACCCGGCCCCGATTCCTTGCCCAGGAGGAGCCAGCACTCATGGGCCACATCTGGGGTGAGTTAACTCCGATAAGTCGCGGGGACGAGCGAGCATCAGGGAGGCACTTGTGAGCTGGGACAGCGGCAGCATCGGGGCAGCCCCACCTGCGCCTCCTCACAGACATGACTCAGAACCTCTCCTGAGAGCTGGCGCCTTCGAGAATCTGACAAGAGGCATGAACCCATTCCCCCCAGAAAACACATTTAGGCAACCGTCTGTGTCTAACTTCCCGGGGCCGGGGGACCTGCAGGGGTGCCTGGTGCCAGTCGCTGGGGGAGAACTCGGCCCCCCAACACCTGCCGAACCAGCACAGCGGGCCGCGTGCGGGCCCCAGGGCTTCTGCTGCCCGAGGTTCCTGGGAGGGAGGGAGGGAGGGAGGGAGGGAGGGAGGCGGCTCGGTGCCAGCCTGGCCCGGCCTGTCAGCAGAGTTCTCCCGCTGCCAGCGGCTGGGTTTGGGCTGAGACAGACCAGGCAGCAGGTGGAGTTCGGAGGGGCCAGAACTGCACGCCACGCCACTCGCCCATTCTTCCCAGTGCGTCCCACACGCTAGCTGGCTGCCCGGACACTGCGGCCAGTCCTTGCTCTGGGCCCAGCAGGTGGCACCTGGGCCCGGGAGGCTGGGCCAATGCCTGTGGGGACCAGCGTCCAATTGGACCCAGCAAAGCGTGGCCTCACGGCAGCCTTTTGATGCTTCTGGGGCAATGGGGGCTGGAGGAGGCTCCCGCTGAGCACGAGGGCGGGGCCTCATTTGTGTGCATTGTTCTCGCACTCAGGGTGCTCCTCCCCGAGTTCCCCTGAAATGAAACGAACGGGCTCCGGGTGCCCGGGGAGTGTTCCTTGTCCCCGATGTTGTCCCCCATGGAAGCTGCTCAAACCAGTGGTCCAGCCTGGATGGCAATGCTGACGACCACATGGCTGGTCTCGGTTCCATGCGAGGGGCTCACTACAGTGCCTGGCACACAGCAGGCACTCACTAACCATATATATACACGAGATACATAGTAGGTGAGCCATGGAATAGTCCACATGGTAAGATTTTTAAGAGCACATCAAGATGTTTGCCCGGTCAGTGTGGCTCAGTGGTTGAGCGTCGGCCCGTGAACCAGGAGGTCACGGTTCGATTCCCGGTCAAGGGCACTTGCCCGGGTGGTGGCTCGATCCCCAGTGGGGGGCGTGCACGGGGCAGCTGATCCATGATTCTCTCTCATCACTGATGCTTCTCTCTCTCTCTGCCTTCCTCTCTGAAATCAATAAAAACATATTTAAGAAGAAGAAGACCACGCCACGGCGTTTTGACGCCAGCAGGGAGGGACTGGGCGTGGCTGGGTCAGGCTGTGACCGGGGCCTGGGCTGTCCCGCAGGGTCTTCTTCCTGAACGTGCCACTAGACTCGGTCATCGAGCGGCTGACCCTGAGGAGAACCGATCCCGTCACCGGAGAAAGGTTGGTGCCAGGCCCCTGGGCTTGGCTTTCAGGGCTCCGGGCCAGGCCCCCTGGGGACCTCCTCTCTCCGCCTGGCTGACCGATGCTCCGCGGGAAATCCAGGGCGGCACGGTGACTGCCGACAGAAGCCTCTAGAAAGGGGTTCTTCCCACCAGCTCCTCAGGGCAGCCTCTGGTCACCCTCTTCTCCTGGAAGAGAAACCAGGAAACGAATGTCCGAGGCGCTCGGCAGTCCTGGTGATGTTCGCCCGGCTGTCCCGGGCGGCAGCTGCGACCCCAGTGTGGGCCCCGTGGCCCCGGGCAGGTGTCCCCTGTGCCTGTCACTGGGCCTTTGCTCTCACAGCGACACTGCACCCCCCCCCCCCCCCGTGGGAACCGGTTCACCTCTGAGCCTTCCCGTGGTTACGGGGGTGATTCTGAGTTTTACTCTGCAGTCTGACCCAGTCCAGTTCATGTTGAATGCAATGTCAAGGCCCTGCAGTCACACAGGGGTAAAGCTTCCATCCTCCGGGGTAAGCCACGTTTCTTGGCAACTAGGGCCACGTTTCTTGGCAACCAGGACCACGTTTCTTGGCAACCAGGACCACGTTTCTTGGTAACCAGGACCAGGTTTCTTGGCAACCAGGACCACGTTTCTTGGTAACCAAGACCATGTTTCTTGGTAACCAGAAGCATGTTTCTCGGTAACTAGGAGCATGTTTCTTGGCAACGTGGCAGGGGAGAAGGGGCCTCCGTCCGACTGTGGGCCAAGCTGGTCACCCCCACCTCCACCACCACCCCCACCCCCAGACATTTACTGCCCGGCTTTGTGCGCAGCCCGGCTGGCGCGGGACCACTCCAGGAGTGGAGTGAGGAGGGGCAGGAAAGAAATACCAGGATTTTCCTAAACTACAGGTCTGATCTGTGCGCCCCTCCTGGCTGCGGGGGGACAGTCCTTTGGTGACCCATGTCATGTGCGATGGCCTTCATGTGGCCTGGGGTCTCCCCATCTCCGCTCCCATCTGTGGTCACAATGTCCCTCCCCCGTCCCGCTGTGCGCTCCGTCAGCGTAGCGTCTGTCTGTTGTCAGTGGCAGTGACAGGCCAGGGCAGATGCTGGATAAACAGTGTTTGGGAGAGAGGAGAGGGAGGCAGTGAAAGGAAGACGGGTTTGGACCTCATCTGTTCCATTCCGTCCCGGTGTTGGCCTCCCTCTGCCCTGGGCCGGGACCAGGTTTCGGGTCTGTGGCTCCCGTGTCAGCCGAGGCTGCGCACAAAGCCGGTGGCAGTAAATGCCTGGTGGCGGCGGCGGCGGCGGCGGCGGCCAGCCCGGCCCCGGTCGGACAGAGGCCCCTCCTCCCCTGATGCCCGGGCGGACCGTGGTCACCTGGTCCCCTGCTCTCTCGCAGGTACCACCTCATATACAAGCCGCCTCCGACCATGGAGGTCCAGGCCCGTCTCCGGCAGAACCCCAAGGACTCCGAAGAGCAAGTCAAGTTCAAGATGGACCTGTTCTACAGGAACTCCGCGGAGCTGGAGGAGTTCTACAAGCAGGCCATCACCCTCAACGGGGACCAGGACCCCTACACCGTCTTTGAGTACCTCGAGAGCGGGATCACCCACCCCCTGCCCCAGAGAGTCCCCTGAGGCCAGCGGGGCCGGAGGCGCCCCCCCCCCCCCCCCGCCCCAAGCGGGAAAAAAAAGGGGGCGGGGCCGGGGCCGGGGGCCCCCCTCCCCTTCGGGGGCCCTTAGAGGGGCCCGGCGTTTTCGGCCCGGGAGACACTCAGGGTGGGGGGGGGGCTCCAGGGAGGCGTATAAGAACGTGTATGGGGTACAGGCCCCCGTGTGTGT